CAAACTGCGCTACCAACCACTAGAACTGCAAGGGTGGCTTCCACTGGAACGCCTGCCCCAGAATGGGCCTGCAAAAACCTCAGGTTGGCAAACCATACAACCATAGAAAGCAAACCCGTCTGCTTTGTCACTTCTTTGTAAACCCCCGTTCAAGGGCAGCCTCAATGCCGTTTCTACCATTTTCCGGTCAATCTCTGTGAACCTCGGATTGGCGAGGGTTCCTTCAACGGCTGCGTTTGAATATGCAGCTCCCTCAACCCCTCTGGCGGCACCAGCGCGTTCCGCGGCTCGGGTCCAGGAGCAGTCGTTGGCGAGGCCCGGGGCGCGGCCTGGGGCCCGGAAGCCGATCTGAGACACATCACCACAGGCTATGGCTCAGGAGCCCCCACCAAATCAGTAGCGAACATGCGACACGTCGAAACACGGTTCCTTTTCCCCCTTTTTTTCTTGGGGGGGGGGAGGGGCACAAATTAAACTGTGGTGACTTTTCCAAGGCCCAAAGAAGAACAAGCAAAAGAACTAGACAAAAAACAAGAAACAACACCACCAACCAATCAACCAACCGACTCACGGCCCACGACCACCCAAACTAGACCAAGCCAAACACAAGCAACCAGCCGCCAGCCCAAACATAAACACAAACAAACAAACAAACAAACCAACCAACCAAACAAACAAACAAAACAAACACACACACACACACACACACACAAACAAACAAACAAACAAACAAACAAGCAAACAAACAAGCAAACAAGCAAACAAGCAAACAAGCAAACAAGCAAACAAAGAAACAACAAACAAACAAACAAACATACATACATACAAACAATCAATCAGACAAAACAAACAAAACACACAAACAACCAAGCAAGCCAGCCAACCAACCCAAACCAACTAAAGGAACCAACCAGCCAACCAAACAAACAACCAAGCAATACAGCAAACAAAACGCAGCCAAGCAAGCAAAAAGCAAGCCTTGCCGAGCCAAACGTCACCGCACAGCAAAGGATACGCAAGCAAGCAAGTCAGCCAGCCAGCCAGCAAGCCAGCAAGCAAATCAAGCAAGCTATCCAGGCAAATTAAATCAACTCAGCCAGCCAACGAACCGCACTAACAACAGAAAACATAAGAAGATGCTCCACTGGATTCATTGGCTGACATTGTCACTCAAGCATGCTGCAATGCTTGCCTGTTAGCCAAGCCTGTTGCACTCCGCCTCCAAAAGGTCTGAAATGAGACGGGCCGCGGCGGTGCAAGGGGTCTCATCTTCTTCGACCTGAGCGTTCGAGCATCAAAACCATTGTCGCAAAAAGTCGCACCTTGGGCTGTGCGGACCTTGGCTCGCTTGCGCTTAGCCGCTTAGCCATTCTCCAACAGGTCCAAGAGGAGGTCAGTCTTCCATGACTCTTTTTACACTACACCTTTGATTCTCTCTCTCTGTCTCCCTCTGCCGCCACCATTTGTTGCTAACCCTTGGTTTGCCTCCTTTGCTGCCTTTTTCGCCTGAAAACTCCAAGGTTAGAGGGGCAGCTATTTTGTCGGACAGGCTGCCGGTTTCAAACGAAGCCGTCATCTGTACAGGATCTCTCCGCCCGCGCCTGCACCTGGGCCTCTTCCTTTGGCTCCACAGACGCTGGTGCTGGCGCTGCCAGGTCCTACAAGCCATGCCCGGTGGTACGAGGCAACTGCATTAACAATTGCCTGTGGTCTCATGGCTTACCATTGCAAACCCCCTGGCTCCATAGGTGTTCTCTTGGAAAAAAGAAAGATGGTGCTGGTGTTGATGAAATTTGCGCCATCTACCGAACCGATTTTTTCACCCAAACTGAGCTCCGCCCCTGCCTGGATGAACTCCACCTCCGGCGATGCGAAGAGCGGAGAGCCGAAGAAGTCCTGAGGACGGGATTCCACAAGTGAGCACGGAGCCATGAATAGAGCCCCCCCTCACCTGGATTGCGGAGGGGCGGGGGTACTACCAACATGCTGGCCACCTGTAAAAAAACTGGCATGAAAATGAGCAAGCTTATGGACCTCTCCATGGAGAGGTCCAAGTTGATCTGTGCCGAAATGGGGCCATCTTATTGGGTTGCTTGCCGTTTCGGCTTGAGGCCTCTTCTTCCACATGCGAAAGCCCAGTGCCACCTCAAGCTCGGCCAACATTGGCTGAGCATCAAGTTGCCTGCTGACACACCCAGACGTAAAACTTATTCAATTCAGTGACATGGTTGTGGGTCAAAATCCCGTACCCCCAGTGAACATCCCAATCCCCACTAAAATAGACTAGATTGGGTGGTGAAATGGTACCATTTGTTGTGATCCACAGCCACATGTTCCAACAGCGAAGTGAGATCGGCCCCAACCGAACCCAGGATGCATCCTACGCTGCAAGAACAGTCGATCATAAAACACAACTGGCCAAAGACCTACCTCCCCCTGAATCCTTATCTTGGTGCATCCATTCCGGAAGCGAACGGCAAGATCTCAAAGAATCCGAGATTCAAAGGACACTCGCCGGTATATATTTCGCTCCAGACAGACGAGCCAATGGAAATGACAAGGAATTCCAAAGTTGTCAAGGCCGACTCTCGTCTCCATCAACAAAGCCTCGCAGTATCAACCGCGCCTCGAAGAGCTCAACCGTCTCAGGAACCTGAGTCTCAAATGTGCAACTCGGCGCGCACGCTAGGCTTGGCAAACTTGGTACTTGTCGGGTCTTGGCTGCACCGGGTTCTGTAATCGGTTCTGCCTGGTCCCCCTATGTGGGCATCAGGGTTCACAATGGAATCAACATGCACGTTGTGGTGGCTGTGGGCTAGTTGGCAGAGCAAAAGGCATCAATCAAACAGGACAATCTTCAAAGGATAGGCAGCATGACACAAAGGCAAGGTCAAGAAAAACAAAGTTGCATCTGCACACTGATGCCCTCAACGAAGGAGTCGCCAGCTTGCATTGCTGAATCCTTGACATCTTTGACATTTAACAAGCCAACCACCTGACATTGCATTGGCTTGCATCATCGAATCCAGCTCTCACCTCTGCAAGTTGCATGCAACATGAGTTGGTCAAGGGAGGGCCAGCTGTCAAAAGTGGCCGGCCTCCCTTACTAGCTTGGGATCCCAACGGGTGGGCTCGCCAAAGGTGGCTCCTGATCCACCTGGATCGGGAAGAAACGCCGCACATCCGCCTGTCCCCTCGCATTCCCCCTGCAACATTGGCTCACAAATTGGCTTGCCTGCTTGACAGGTATCCTCAAAACGTGGCCTTTCGTGCCAAATTTCAACCTGGAAACTGATCGTCCAAGTGTGGCCTCACAAGGCTGCTCATCCTGGGAGAGCTCAACCGTCTCAGGAACCTGAGTCTCAAATGTGCAACTCGGCGCGCACGCTAGGCTTGGCAAACTTGGTACTTGTCGGGTCTTCGCTGCACCGGGTTCTGTAATCGGTTCTGCCTGGTCCCCCTATGTGGGCATCAGGGTTCACAACCTGGCCAACGTGCACACTGTAGTGGCTGCGGGCTAGTTGGCAGAGCAAAAGGCATCAATCAAACAGGACAATCTTCAAAGGATAGGCAGCATGACACAAAGGCAAAGTCGGCAAAACGCTGGTGTACCTGCGCATGATCTCAACGAAGGAGTCGCCAGCTTGCATTGCTGAATCTTTGACATCGTTGACATTTGACAAGCCAACCACCTGACATTGCATTGGCTTGCATCATCGAATCCAGCTCTCACCTCTGCAAGTTGCATGCAACATGAGTTGGTCAAGGGAGGGCCAGCTGTCAAAAGTGGCCGGCCTCCCTTACTAGCTTGGGATCCCAACGGCTGGGCTCGCCAAAGGTGGCTCCTGATCCACCTGGATCGGGAAGAAACGCCGCACATCCGCCTGTCACCTCGCATTCCCCCTGCAACATTGGCTCACCAATTGGCTTGCCTGCTTGACAGGCATCCTCAAAACGTGGCCTTGCGTGCCAAATTTCGACCTGGAAACTGATCGTCCAAATGTGGCCTCACAAGGCTGCTCATCCTGGGAGAGCTCAACCGTCTCAGGAACCTGAGTCAACTCAGCCTGCTAGGCAGGTTGGCTCATAGTTATCAGCTTCTAGTTGCCCTGCGTGTGGCCGCCAAGCAACTGCAATTGGGTGACAGGCCGTCCCCTCATGCTCATTTGGCCCCAAGTAAATATGCGTAAAACTCCCCAAGCATTCGCATGTAGCCATCCCTTAATTCCTTTGGCCAGGCTCACCTCGGCACCAAACCCTTGGGATCCGACAGGTGAGCTCGGCCCCTCCTGGGAAAGCACGGGCGTCTGCCTGTGGCAACCTGCCCTTGCCACAACTCGGCCCACCAGGTTTACAACTTGAAGGGCCAGGCATGTTCGGTGATAGCATTGACCATTTTGGGCATCAACAAAACAAGTAGGCCGCACAAATTGTGCTGCTGTTCGCTTTATTTTCTGGCAGGCTGGTTTGCAATTGATTGCGACTGCTGTAGGGAGCCTGCCTATTGGTGGCGAGTGTGCCTCCCCCCAATGCTCCTGCTCCATCTCCGATGAGGCCGTCATGTCACCGCTTTCCTCAATGGCGAGGCATATGTCAGCACGCGGGAGGTACGTGCTCCGACCTGTCACCACTTTCTTGGCTGCCCGACTGATTGCCATGAACCTGGGGACGTCGACTCCTGCACAGCAAGGCCCAAAGCGGAGAGTAGCATGCAACATTTGCCAAGTTTGGCCAAGGGACTGCTACAATGCAAGGATGCGGCAAACGCTCGAGGTTGCTAAAGGCACTATCCCTCTCCCATGATCTCCCAACAAGCATTTGGCTGAGACACAGCCCGTGGACTTTTCCCTCCAGCTAGAGAAGCTGACAGGAGGTGTTCAGAAGTCCATGTCCACATCCAGGATTCATTCCAAAGCAATAGAGTTGATTGAAGCTGCGTGCTTTGGCATGCGCGGCAAGCGACACGTTGCCCTTGGTGCACCTAACTGCCCTTCAGCTTGGCAAGTTGCAGGCAAATGAGTGGCCGCATCTCACATCCCGGACCCAATCTCAACCTGGATGCTCCCAACATGCGTGGGGACACAAAACAGTGTCTTCAACCCTGCTGCAGTTTCAAGCATTGGCGGTCTTCACGGCAAGGCGTTGACGCGCAAAAAGAACAGCCCACATGACCACAACACAAAACCTTGCTGCTAAGCCAAGCCTGAGCACATTGTATTAGGGCACAGTGGTGAGCCTTTGCTAGACATGCATGGTCCTGCTGAAATTACTTGTGTTCTTGACAACAATCAAGGGCTGGCAAGATCAAACCACACATGTAACCATGACAGGCACGCCTTCTTAACAGAATGCTGTTGTTCTTGCTAATTCCGAGTACTAGCTTGTTCGTAGCAACTCCAAATTCTTCCTGAAACCGTCCAGTCATGGCAGCACATTGTGCCAGTCCGCTCTCCATCCGCCGCAAAATGAATGGAAACACGGCGCCGCTGTTCATCCCTTAGCTGGGAACCAGCAACAAGCGACAAAGAGACTTAATTTGTTTAATATTAAAGGAAATGTCAGGGCGTTGTTTCCGAGGGGACGGTGAAAGAAGCAAATCATTGAATCAACTGCCCTCTCCCTTTTTGTCTCTTGAAACGAGCCGCATGGCGACGCAGAAAACATCCCGAAAACATCAGGCTGCACATGCGCATGTCCCTCCGGCCTCGCTCCGGGGAGTTCCTCTGGCAAGGCAGACATTGGGAGCCAGTCCAAGGATGAGTTTGTCCTTCTTTCACCCGTTCCGCAAAGATCAAGCCGGCATTCCGATCCACACACACACGTGCCATGATACTGGCGACCAGTCGAGTAGGGGTATGGAAAGTAGTAGGCGCGAACCAAGCTGGGCATACCGAGGGGCTGTATGCTTCTCAGTTTGAGGCTCTTATGATGATGCGGTGAACCTGCAGCCACTGCCAGTCTGCAATAATATGACGACAAGCGATAACAACAATACAGCCTGAATGGTGTGGGGAAGCCTGTGAATGGGGTTGCACTGGCTGCCATTGTAATCCTTGGACAGGGCAAGTAGAAATGTCCCCGCAGCCCTTCATGACTCGAAAGCCTTGAAGAGATCTGCTTGGAAGCATATACACACGTTCAGGCAGTGCTACAGTGAAGACATAACCGTCAACCACCCACGGTTGGAACGTGCTTGAGCTGCTACCAGCAACATGGCGTTAGTACAGGCCCTTCCTGATGTTCCGTTCCAGGACACGTGCGAGCATCGAGCAAAAGCATAAATCGGGCAACGAAACAGCCAGCAGTTAGAACGGACCGGCCGCACGCCGCCAAGCATTCTTTTGCATCGTCCGACCCCAACATTTATCATATGAAACCTACAAGCAGCATACCCAAAAACGGCCCCTTGCTAGGGGCCGGCAAAACGGTGCATGACCCTGAGATTGATTTATATCGGTAACTCCCCGCGTCCTTGCGTCTTCCAAATCTGTACTTGGGTGCGGGCCTGGGTTTGGCCGCATCTTGATGGCGCAGGGGTCCTGCGGTGAAAATGACTGGAAGAGAGACTGGAAGAGAGAACATGCAGAAAGCAAAGAGTTCGAGTCCAGGTCCACGCAAAGGAGATACTCCTACCCCGCCCAGCCCTTGAAGCCCAACACTACATGCACCCTCATCAAGAAGCATGACACTCACCCTGATTCCCAGCAGAAAACGAAGCAGGAACAAGACGAAGCGCAAGTTGTACAAAAATCCCAAACCTGAAATCGCGGATCCCCCAGTGAGGGACCTATGGTGGCGGGCTCGTTTCACCCAGTGGGAGCCCAAACTCGCCGCCATGCGAGGTCGAAATGTCCCCGGCCTGCGGTGCTGAGCCTCGGCTTAAAAACGATTTACACCCAGTTGCCAGAAATCCGCTTCCCTCTGATTGGTTTGGATTGGTGGTTTGTGGCTTGGGGCAAGGAGGGGTGACATTTGCCACAAATTCGTAGCAAAGAAGAAAAACGCTGTCACTGTGCTGCCAAATGCTCAAACAAGCCCTGCCTGGACCTCGTGGGCGCCTTTTGCAGTGACAAGGTCGGGTCACCGTTGCGGGCTGTGCAGCGCGAAGCCGCTGAATGGATTATTCACTTCATGTCAGTCAGTTCCAGCTCAATTGCAGGAAATGCCTTCTTGTCGGGCCGCGGATGGCAAGTGGTTCATAGACCCAGCTGTTGAATTCACATGCCCAACCCGCACGCCAGCGGCGCTTCAAATGTAGATTGCAGTGGACTGACGGCTACCGCATATGACATGGATAGAAATGAAATTACTGCAACCCGCACCCAGACATAAGGAACCACAAAAGTAAGGCCTTCATGGGAATCCCCAGCTCGCGGAGCTCGAGCACAACTCTGGGCGGCCGCACCAGGAGTGGCCGAATGATCCTTGGGCTCCAGCGGCCGCTTCTGCCTGAAGCTGACGGGACGTAACCGGCTGATGCTGTGCTGACAGTGCCGTTGAGAGAGTCAGACATGGCCCTGTCAACAGTGAAAACAAGGCAACGCCCCAAGAAGTTAACTGCTTGAGCGTGGTCGCTTGACTTGTCTATGGAGCATTTCAGAAGTAGAACTACATTCACAGCTAAGACTTAAGACTCCTGACTTGAATCCAGTTGATATCCCGAACATACATAGCTGGCACCTTGAGTAGCAAAAGACGGCCGCGGTTCTGTCAGAATAGAGCCAACGTATGTTCAAGAACACTTAGCCTCTGCCACCCCATCACCCGCTACCGTCGAGGTATGCCACATTAGCACACCCATGGTGCTCAAAACGGTACATGCAAAGAAGTCTCATGCGAAGAGCGCAAACTGAAGACTGAGGCGCCCCGCGGGGTTTGGAAGAAACAGCACTCTTGCAGCAAGGCGGGAAGGTCCTCCTGGGTATGAACAAGCCGTCTGGCATCATCACCCATGCATGCGTAACCTGCAATCCGTGCCTGCACACCAAGCTGAGTGCCAATGCTGCTACAAAGCCAGCTTGCGTTCGGATCGTCTCAAGAAACTGCTGCAACACCGGAACCTTGACACGGCAACTTCTTTGTTTTCTTGTTTGTACCGCATTCTCTTAGGTGCAGCTGTTACTATGAGACTTGTCTGAACAATGTGTCAGGGTATACACATGAGGCACACTTCTTTCTGGCCCAGCGGTATGCAAGGCAGCCAGGCTGCCAGCTAGCAATGAACATCTCGCTTGTATGATGTGACTGCACTCAGTGATGTCCAGTGCCATTCTGTCCTGGCTGGGTGCTTTTGGCATCTGGCAGCCTCTTGCCCGCCATCGGCAAGCGATCTGGCGTGAGTGGTGCGCGTGCAACATTTCAATCATGGAATGGGACAGGAAGTCAGAACGCTTCAACGTCAACCAAGAAAAGCGAAGGCAATCCAATAGCATCCAAGTTTTGCTGTGCTGCGAACTTGGGACCACCAATTGAAATTTGGCGGCACTGTTGATTTTTTTCGGGCCGAAAGCGATGATCAAAACGATGAGGGGTAAGGGCCAAACCTGAGTCAACTTCAACAGCATCCCTGTGGTTCCAAGATGCCTAAGCGACCTTGCGAGATGCAAACGCCAGCGCACCAAAGCAAACCATGCGAAACCACACAAGAAACCCACATGCACAACACGCAACACATCGCATTGCATCACACTCCGTTACATCTCATCCCAGTACATGACATTGCAAAAAAAACATATACAAAACATAACATAACCTGACATAGAATACACTTCAAACATATATACATTCCATTACAACGTTGCACGACGGTGCATTGCATTACATTGCATGCATTGCAATGCACTACATTGCGATACATTGCATCCATACATACATGGTTACACTACGTTACATACATTGCATAGATACATACGTACGCAGGCACGCATATAAATAACATGACATACACAAACACAGCATACATAACATGACATGACGCACATACAGTACATTACATTACATTACATTGCATTGCATTGCATTGCAGTACAAAATTAAATGTATACATACATGCATGCATGCATGCATGCATAAATACATTACATTACATAACATACATACATTACATTACATTACATTACATTGCATTGCATTGCATTACATTACATTACACTACACTACATTACATACATACATACATTACATACATACATTACATACATACATACATGACATTGCGTTACATTACATTACGTACATACATACATACATTAAAAACATACATACATTACATTACAATACATTACATTACATTCCATTACACTACATTACATTACACTAGATTACATTATATTACATCACATACACACATACATAATTACATACATACATACATACATACATAACATAACATAACATAACATATCATATCATAACATAACATAACATACATACCTACACACATAAACATACATACATACATACATACCTACATACATACATACATTACATTGCATTACATTACATTACATTACATACATACATTACATTACATACATAACATACATACATGCATACATACATACATACATACATTACAGACAGACATACATACATACATTACATGCATACATCCATGCATACATGCGTTACATTACATTACAATACATACGTACATATACATTACATTACATTACATTACATTACATTACATTACATACATACATACATACATACATACATTACATTACATACATTACATACATTACATACATTACATACATCCATTCATACATACATACATATCTACATTACACTACATACATACATACATACATACATACATAGATACACTACATACATTACATACATTACATACATACATACATACATACATACATACATACATACATACATACATACATACATACATACATACATACATACATACATACATTACATTACATTACACTACACTACATACATACCTTACATACATACAGTACATACATACATACATGCA